AGAGAAAGTATCCCCCAATGGGTTGTGGTCACACCACAATCTCTTCTTCTCTACTTCTCCATCATGCTGAGATTTGGGCCACTCATGCACCTGAACCCAGCGTGTTTCTCAAGTCCCAGCGCCAAGAATCCAACCATGCAGTTGGCCATGGCGGGTCCAGCTCCCTTAACCATAAGGCCACAGAGCTGGTTCTATAATATTTTTACAGTCACTACAGTAGTCACAATGACCACATGCAATGGAAAAAGCAGGTATAATTATCTCCATTTTACAGATAAGGACACTGAGTCTGGCAGAGCAAAGTCTTCTCCAAGGACTCACCACTAATAACAGACCTGAGACTGCAAGCACACTTATCGAACTCCTATGCTCTCTCCATTACCCCCTGCTTCCTCCTAATAATACCTTGATATCAAGGAATACAACTTCCTAACAGTTTCCACCCTGGTGTCTCCTTTAAACAATACAACTTCCTAACAGTTTCCACCCTGGTGGCTCCTTTAAACAACCATTGGGGAATTACTCAAAAGAAAGTTGACGAGAGATCCACAGGGAGCTTGATGGGCCAGTGATGTCAGTTATTGCATTCTTCAAGCCTTAGATAGAAATGAGATCATTCCTCAAAAAGATTTGAACTGGAGGCACCAAACTTAATATTTTTTCTTTTAATTTTTTGGGGTTTCTTTGGAGAGGTTTTTGCTATAGAGCATGTGCGCTCGCCAGACAGACAGAGAGAGACAGAGAGACCGAAAGCGAGAAATCACCCCCTAGGGGGGATGGTCACGCCGCAATCCCTTCTCTTCTATTCTCCTCTCAGGATCTTGGGCATGCATGCACACGCACCCGGCATGAGTTTAAGCCACCAGGTCCAGGACTCGAACCGCGGTCAACTACATGGGAGTCCAGAGACATAGCCATTACACTAACTGCTGGTCCCTCAAAGTTAATATTAATAAAATACTCAGAGTAGTGTGTGGAATTCCATAACCAATCTAGAAGGAGTGTTTGTTAATGGACATATATACACTTAAGTTCTTGGAGCTACTGGCTATTCTTTCTTTAAGACTTCATCCTGGGGGGAACCAGCAGTTAGCTTTCTATCTCTATGTCTCTCTCTGTCTGTCTGGTGAGCACACGTGCCCTATAGCGAAAATCTCTCCGAAAAAAAGAATAAAATGCACAAATAGTACAAAAAATGAAATAACTTATTAATAAATTTCAATATTGATTATATGTTGAAATTATAACCCTTTGGCTATTGAGCTAAATTAAATACATTATTAACTTCATCTTTTTTTCTCTTTTAATGAGGCTGGTAGAAAATTTCAAATTAGGACCAACAGATGGTGTAATAGTTAACGTCACTGGACTTCCATGTAGTCAACTGTGGTTCGAGTCCCAGACCTGGTGGCTTAAACTCATGCTGGGCGCTTGTGTGTGTGTGTGTGTGTGTGTGTGTGTGTGCATGTGTGCCCAGGATCCCGAGGGGAGAATGAAGGAGAAGAGATTGTGGTGTGGCCATCCCCCAGGAGATGATTTCTCACTTTTTGTCTCTCTGTCTCTGTCTTTCCAGGAAGCACACATGCCATATTGCAAAAACCTCTTCAAAAAAAAAAGAAAGAAATTTTTAAATAATAAACATGGCTAGTGTTACATTTCTCTTGGACAGCACTGTTTGAAATTTTGTTTTAAGGTCTGTCTACTTTATCCCCCATATACTAATCTCAGAGAGGATAAGATAGAATAAAAATGGTTTTTGTCCTTTAATTATTCTCATGGCATGAGCTTATAACACAAGATGCTCAGAGAATGAGTTCCATAGCACCTCTCAGACTGTTTTTACTTTTTACCATAATTTATGGCAAAAAAATAGGTCTTATTCCAAACCCAGAACTACCTAGTATCTTTAACAATATATATACTACTATTTAGTTTTATGTAGTAAAATATAAATATAACTAAAACAATAATTTCATAAAATAGTACTTCCCCTTACTGATGGTATTTTCTGTCCAGTTAGTTTGTATTTTTTTTAATATTCATTGCAATCCACTAAACTCATTTAATAACCCACTAATGTGTTAGAACCTGCAGTTTGTAAAATTCAATATAATGCCTGCATGTGAGATACTGATTCTATCTACACAGAAGTAGAGACAGATTTTAGTAAATAAGGTGATGGACTCGGCAGAAATATGTAAGTTAGGGAAGGCCTGTAGTTATGGCAAGTTCGTGGCCTCCTTAGTTGGCTAAAATGCTTTCTCTCTCCTATGAAGTCAGTGCTAATGGATGTGTCTAATCCCCATCTCCTGTTCTGCCTGCTCGGCGTCACCTCTTCTTTTAAGAAAGAGCAAGCATTTATTTTAGTACCTGCTCTTCCTACCCAGCCATCACTCCCCACCCTAGTTCCAGACATGAGATTTAAATAGAAACTTCTTCATATTGTAGGCCATGTCTGATGGCTTGGGGGGTCTGAATCAGACCCACATGAAATCTGTCAGAAACTCTTTCCGGGATTTGTGGGTGTCTAACTAGAACAGTAGAGCGTCTGATCTTCTAATGATAAAAGCCTCAAGGTTTCAATCTGCAATCTGTCAGCGGTCATGTCCACTGCTGCCGTGTGGAAGGAAAAGCTGCTTTACCTTAGGAGAGAATGAAGCAAAAGTAAGTAAAGGGGAGAGATGCAGAGAGGTCGCTAGGCCCCAAGTCCTTGCAGGGCCAACAACGCAGTCAGGCAGCCCATGGAGTCTCACAGAGTCTTGGTTTAATGCTCTACTGTGGCCATCTTGGAACTCTTCATAATTTTCAGATGAGGGATGGAGGGAGTGCCGAGATTTGCAAATTATGTAACCGGTCCTGAGGCTTTAATTTCAATTATTCCTTAAATCCAACTGGATTCTTACCCCTTCCTAAGACTGAGTCATTCAGCTCTTGTTCAATTACATGGGAATCTCCCAACAGATGTAAGCTTCTTAGAGTTTAGTTCTTTTACTTTCAGCCAAGAAATTTGGACTACACTGTTGTCAAAGACATAAGATTGAGTCAATAATACAATTCCAGAGACCAAACCACTCTGTCTACCCAGAGGATGGAGTTCTGTCGCTATCCCTGAAGCTTCTGACTTTTCAGAAATGTACTTCCAGGACTTGGGAATCTCACCACAGAGTCTAGGAATGTTTTTGTGTTCTAGAAAGGATCACAGATCAGATGGTAGCATTCAGAGACCAAAACTAATTTCAGGTGTCTTGTAGTTCAATATAGGTTGACTCTTTCTTTCTCTCTTTCTTTCTCTCTTTCTTATTTTAGATTTTTGCCATAGAGTGCATGGCCTCACTGGAGAGAGACAGAGACAGAGAGAGGGGAAGTAAGAAATCAAAGTAAGATATCAAACACTCCCCCCAAGGGAGATGGCTATACCACAATCCCTCTCCACTCTCCTCTCAGGATTTTGGACATACACGCACAAGCACCTGTCTTGTTTTTTAGTACTCTAGGTCAGGGATTTCAACCATGAACTTGACCATGTAGTATCCAGTGCCGTTACCACCACACCAAGTGCTTGCTCCAAGCTGGTCCTTGTAACATTGCAAATGCAATAGGTTTGTACCTAAACTGAGTCCTGATCATTTCTGTAATTGGAAAGCAAGAAAATAAGTCAGACAACACAGTCCTAGTATATCACAATGTAATTGGGGGAGATTTTATTTATGTAATACCCATAATCAGCCTTTTAAAATATCAATGGATTATCATTTGTTTATCGAGGAAAATGAAAGTGGCCATACCTACTGGTAAGGTACTCCATGGCTTAGTTGTGCCAATGTCAGCCTGATTAACCTTTAGAATGATCTTTTGGCTGAACACAAGAACACAACACACGCAACATCTTTTTTTTAATTAGTGACTGTTCGCCCTCTTCAGTTTGATTTAGTGGCCTGAGGTTCTCCCAAGCCCTTTTGAACTGTCCTGCTCTTGAACCGCATTTATTTCCTATGTAATTGGAGTGTGGTATGCTCCTAACAGAAGGAAGAATGTAAGAGAGCATGTGAGATTAATCTTCAGCAAAACAAAACAAACAAACAAAAAATGTAGTTAAAGCAAAGTGAGGCAAAGTGAGATAGTCTAGGGCCCATTTTCAACAGTCTTCCCTGAGCATATTGCAGCTGTTCCCCAGGGTGTTCTGCAGGACAGTCAGCTGCCAGGCACCCAGAGAGATACGGTTGGCATGGGATGATGGAGTTATAGTAACAGGGTTTGGGGGACTTGTTTCTTCTTTAAAAACACTCTGAATTCAGGATTGTGTGTATTCCTCAGAGAGGATCCATATAAGAAACTCTATGTGAAATCTGGGTGGTCTCTTATAGAGACTCCAAACCCGGGGTCTTGAAAAGGTCCAGGAGGATATCAAGCGTGGCTTCCCCTTCCAGATGGTTATGGGAAGGCTGTGTAAGAGCAGTGTGTTGATGTATCATCTCATTTAGTCCTTACCCTCCTCCTCCTAGTAAGCATAGAAGTCCTTGGTTGCAGTTCATTCAATATTCAACATAAATCTATTAAGCACAACTGTATGCTAGGCATAGCGCTGGGGACGCTGCAGCGAGTGACACAGATGTGGCCCTGCCCCTTGGGTTTCACTTTCTCAGGGAGAGAAAAGAAAAGTGAGGAAATGAGAAGTTAAAATGTTTCACTAGAGGGAAACAGGGTTTATAATGGAAACCTACAAGGGGTTTGAGAGAAGAAAGAGGAAACATTGCCCGGCTCTCCGCACCTCCCTCTCTGGAATATCCGCCCAATTCCACCCTTTTCTCTCTATACCTCTCTACGAGCTCCTACGAGCTCCCCTCCCAAGGCCTTTTTCCTTCCTTCTTGCCATCTACTCTCCCCTCCCTCACTGAGCCCTCGTCAGCTCCACTCCCCTCCACCGCGGGATGCGTTCTTGCTCCCACGAGGAAGTCCCGCGACCCCGCCCCGCCCCCACGCGTGGTTCAACTGCCTTGGCGCGAGCCGCGTCAGAGCCCCCCCAGCCCGCTGCTCCTGCGACCCTGTGAGCGACTTAGCCTGGCGTTCACGATGGGAAATGAGTCCAGCTACCCGGCAGAGATGTGCTCCCACTTTGACAATGATGAAATTAAAAGGCTGGCCAAGAGTTTTAAGAAGATGGACTTGGACAAATCTGGCTCTCTGAGCTCGGAGGAGTTCATGTCCCTGCCTGGGCTGCAGCAAAACCCGTTGGTGCAGCGAGTGATCGACATCTTCGACGTCGACGGCAACGGTGAAGTGGACTTCAAGGAGTTCATCATGGGGACCTCCCAGTTCAGCGTCAAAGGCGACAAAAATGAGAAGCTGAGGTTTGCTTTCAGGATCTACGACATGGATAAAGACGGCTACATTTCCAACGGGGAGCTCTTCCAGGTGCTGAAGATGATGGTGGGGGACAACCTGAAGGACTGGCAGTTACAGCAGCTGGTGGACAAAACCATCATCACCATGGATAGGGATGGCGACGGGAAAATATCCTTCGAGGAATTCAGTGCTGTGGTAGAAGATCTGGAGATTTACAAGAAGTTGGTAGTCATTGTGTGAGCCTTTTTTTAGAAGAGCACGGCCCAATGACTTTTGCTTTCTTCTCATTCTCTTTCAAGATCTGCTCAAGATACCCAGCAACTGTCTCTCTGACTTCCCTGGAAGTCTTTCTCCCTGTGAAGCCACATTTTTAAGACGAACTTCACCATCATTTCAGTGTTATTCAGACTCCTGTCAAGGATCCAGGGTGACACCCTGAGTGGGAGACAGCAAGATGAAGGAGCATGGGGGGAAATAGAAAGTGAAATGATTCAGAAACCAAGCTAAAGAATAAAGACAAACATAAAAATTTGAAATTAAGACAATATACATCTTTGCCTTTATTTCTCATGATCCTGTGTATGGGAGGGACTTACGCAATTTGCATCAGGTGTTAGATTACCTATTTCCATTTACTTGTGGCATTCAGATGTCTTGAGGGCAGTTAAACTTCCTATTGTAGCAACAGGAACAGATATATTTCTCTGTGCTGGGCATCCTTTGCTCAGCGAAAGAAGCTTTTTCTTCCCCTTTCCCAGGTTGCAGCCCCACCCCCATATGCATCCAGAAATTCCTGAGCATAATTAAGTGGTGGGAGTCCATTTGGGGATCCTACTGTCTTGTTTCTCCAGCACCTGAGCAGAAACTAGGTTCAGGGCTCTTGTGAGCAAGAGCCTGTACTAAGCACCCAAGCCAACTCTCTGCCTCAGTGGCAGGGGGTTTTCAGGATTGGCTCCCCACTCCAGATTACCCTCAGTATAGGGGCTTCTAGTCAAACAGGGCAGAGACCTTCCTGGAAAGTACTCTCACCTGCAATGCTCTGCCCCACCCCAGCTGGAGAGAATGGGGCAGAGTAACAGCCAGTCTTCCTTAGAGGCAGAGGCAGTAGAGATTCCAGCTGCAATGGATCCTCCCCACAGTGCTGAGGTGGTAGTGTTCAATGATGCTGTTCAATGATGCAGAGACCAGCAAGCATGTTTCTACAGAAGAGGTGAATGCTGGCTGCACTAGCTAAGATTCGTTTTGAAAAATGAGGTCTGGAGCCTAGCAAAGAAAGCTGAGCACTTTCCATTCCATGGAAGCCTTTTCCCTCTGTGACCTTCATCCTGGAACTTCCTTTGACGCTAGTAGACCTGCATTCAGGGTGCCACCTGTCAGCACTGGAACCTATTGGTTCTGGATGAGTTTCCATGTGTGTGTGTGTCTCTCCCCAACTCAGTTGTGTCAGCATGTGTGAAACTTGCCTTGGTGGGAGTAGGACATTATGGGAAAAAGACTCTTTTCATTGTTTTTGTTTGTCTTGGGCATTCGGTTTAACAGTGATTATGGCTCTGCCTGCACCCCATATCGCCAGCTCTCTGAGGTCCTCCATGCTACTGTAGTCCTCAGAGCACAAGCTAGCCTCAGAAGATAAGGGCCAGGACTGATCTTAGGGCCTGTCACTGTACTCCAGTCCTCTTTTTCACTCCCCATATAGAGTGCTTAAGGCTTTCAAAACACCAAGACAACGAAGCATACTCTTCCTACACTTTTTTTTTTTTTTTGAGAGGTTTTTGCTATAGGGCGCATGCGCTCGCCAGACAGACAGAGAGAGCCAGAGAGACAGAAAGTGAGAAATCACCTCCCAGAGGGATGGCCACGCCGCAATCCCTTCTCCTCCATTCTCCTCTCAGGATCTTGGGCACGCACGCACACGCGCCCGGCGTGAGTTTTAAGCCACGGGATCCAGGACACGAACAGCGGTCGACTACGTGGGAGTCCAGTGACATAGCCATTACACTCA